CAGGGAACAGAGGTCTGCCAAAGTCACTCTTAGCTTCCTCTAACTAGGAAGGACAGGCTGCCCCAAGGGACAAGGACAGGGCAAAGGGGGCTTCCCTGCCTTGGGAAAGTACAGCCCAGGCCCTGGCCAGTTTGGGGTGGTGAGAAAACACAGCAGCTATGTGAACCACTGTCATGCAACAGCAGCCACCCGCCTCTTGGGCAGGGCTCCAGAAGAGGGGCAGGGACAGCTCAACCGTAACCCACGTGTCCACTGGCACAGACCCCAGACATTGGCCCAGACCCCGACCCTGACAAGCTCTGAGCCCCGCCTGTGCCCGCACCCCAGCCCACCCCAGCCAGTGCTGCGGGATGCCCTATTAAGGGCATGGCTGCGGGGGCTCAGTAGAGCCTGCCTGCCCCTTTCCCCGACTTGCAGCCACCGGTTAGGGGCCGGCGGAAGGGGCCACCCAGGCAGGAAGGCCAGCGGGTGGCCAGGTTCTGTGTGGGTAATCAGGAGAGTAGCCTCCACAAGGGGTCAGCGGCCAGCTGTCAGTCTGGAGGACCCCGCAAGCGTTGTGAGGCTGCCCAGAGGGCGGGCAAGGTGTGGGGGACACCGTACCTTTGTACTTCTCCCGCACCTCCTCGTAGGCCTGGATGAAGTCCTGCTCGTCGGGTGCTAGGTTGGACGTCAGGAGGGCGGCCATGCCGGCGGGCATGGGACGCAGCGCACCGAACACGCAGAGACAGCCGCCAGACCCGGCTGCCGCTCTGTCTCAGCAGCCGAGACGCGTGCGGCTTAAAAGGCCGCCCCGGCCCCGCCCCGCACCCAGGATGCCCCTCGGACGGGGCGGGGCGGGGCCGGGTTGGGCTGGGCTGGCCCGGGCTGGACGGGGCCAGACGGGCGGAGACTGGGCTCTATCCCTGGAGCCGCCGCCGGTGCTCCGGCAGTCTCGGCCCTGAGTGGCCGCCTGCGCACGCGTCCAACCAGACATGCGTTCCTGCTCGCTACCCACCCATCCACAGCAGCCTGACAGCTTGATTTCCGATGCCCTGGAGTGCTAGTCCTGTGGCGTCCACTCCCCAGCCCAAACCCAGCCGCAGCCCCAGCCTGCGCAGCAACCCTCCCTGCCCCAGCCGGCGGCTTCACCTGGCCACCCCTGTGCTACCTTTCCTCTTCCCTCCTTTGCTCCCTTCTTTACGTAGAATTGCTACAGCTCTGGAGATAGTGTGGCCCTTTCTAACATATAAGTAGCCCTTAGCCTGGAGTGGTGGGGCACACCTGTAATCCCAACATTCAGGAGGCTGAGGCAAGAGGACCACTGCAAGTTGAAGGCCAGCCTGAACTACATAGCAAGACCGTGTCTCAATAAATAGCCTATAAAACACAAGAAGAAAAACTATATATAAAACTGGAAGCCAAGGGGCTGGGGAGATAGCTCAGTAGAATAAGCGCTTGCCTGGCAAGCCCAAGGTCCTGAGTTCAATCCCCAGTTCTGAAACAAAATAAAACTGGAAGCCCAGCATGGCAGTGCACACCTTGGTCATCTCAATACTTCGGAGGCTGAGGCAGGAGGATCACTGTGAGTTCCAGGTCGGCCTCGGGTATCTAGTGAGTTCAAAGACAGCCTAAACTACATATCAAGGCCCTGTCTCAAAAAAATAAATAAATAAAAAATAAGGACTAGAGTAGACAATTTACAGAACAACACAAAGTTTGATAATAAATGAAAAAACAATCCTTTCCACACAGCTGATTCGTAAAGCCTTCTTTGTCTCCCAGCATTTTCCAATATCCTCCTTCCTGGAACCCCCTGATATAATACTCCATTAAACTTTAAATGTTGGATGTCCTCAAAACAGAAGTCCCCTTCTCAATACCTGATAATATTCTTTCAAACTTTAAATCTAGGTGCCCTCAAAGCAGAAGCCCTAAAAATAATAATAATAATCAGAAAACATGTAGGCTACAGCACAGCTAGAGACAAAGAATGCTAAAGACCACCAGAGCCAGCAGCAGGGGCTGCTGAAGGTTGCTACAGCCCCCACCCCATTCCTTCACACCATGAAATGACCACGAGGTGGAAAGGACACTCATGATTCCTTTTCATGTAGGAAAAAAAAATTACCTCATTCTTTAAAATCCATTAGAAAGATCAGAAAGTCACCCACAAGCACCTGGGCCTCTGGTCTTGGCAGTGTTGAGCACACACCCACCACTTTTCTCTGTGTTTCCATGAGTTCTTACTGTACCTTCCCCAATGACAGATTTCTCCAATACCGAAGGTAGCCTCCAAGCCTCTCCCCACATGCCGTGGTCCACCCTCCTTGCCTCCTTCAAGAAACTCTTTGCTCTCCTGATGCCTCACTATGCCCCTGGCGGGGGGGGGGGGGTCCTAGATGATGGAATAGGGTCAGCCCATCCTGCCCAATGACCTCCAGTTCTAGGTGACCCACTTCCCAAAGGGACTGGCTTCCCTCCAACTAACCACCCTAGAACTGCCCACTACCTCTCTCTGGGCCTCTCGCTGGCTCTTTCCCACTCTCCTCCTCAGACTGGCAGCTAATGTAGGACATGGCTGGACCCTGGTACAGGCATAGTGGGGCTCTCATTAACCAGATGTTTTCTCCTTCCCTGCTCCTGTGCTCACCCACCCTTATTTGGTAGTCAAGACTTGGCACACGGTGAGCAGTTTGGCCCCAGGGCCCAGGCAATGATCACTATCTTATCAAAGGCGCTGGACCAGAGTCAGGAAG